TTTTATTTTATCTAATTATTTTCATTCCATTTTATTTATTTATTATTGCTATTAGTCACTCGAAAATTATAGATATTTTAACATTATCTTTAGAAAAAAAAATTAATTTCGGCTAAAAGAATCTGCCAAAGGTCTTCCAACGGTTTTAAAATTCGTAAAATGCTCAAGTTTGTGTGCACAAAATGTACATACCGTTTTGTTCTGCATCTGTCGCAACAAACAGTGCGCTTAGCCCAAGCTTATCCATTTTATTTTGTAATTGTACAGCAGTATCCTTTATCGTCGGCACCGACGCCTTATGAGCCATGACAAAATCGCGTCTCCTAAGATGAACCGCCAAATATGGCCCGCCTCTTGCATCACGCCGATTCTGAACTTAGAATCCAGCTATAATTTACTATATCTATAATTTACTATACTGCAATACATACCAAAAAAAAAAAAATAACAATCAATGTACCTTCTCTTTGGTCCAATCCGCTGGCCGTTCCGTGTTATCATCCGCATTCGTGGAATTCAGGAAAGCTTTCCTATAATCCTCCGCGATAGCGTACAGTTCGGAATTATAGCGCATGCTGCGCCTAGCCCTCCAGTACTCTTTAGATCCGTATTCGTCGTGTAAGGCAATCTCCATGCGATCGAACATTATGGATCTGCGCAAAAAGTGCTAGCGAGATTCTTCGTAAGGATTCAAAAAGAAAGAGTACAGAAGTATCCAGAAGTGTCTTACCTGTGCTGCGTTGGCATGAGGTTTTGAGAGAGGTCATGTGCCATGCCGTGGAATTTAAGACACCTCACATCCCGAACTGTGACGTTAGCGTAGCCCCAGAACGGGCCGATATACAATGAATGCTCCAATTCATGATATCGCAAGGAGTCACGATCGCAGTCCACCAGCTCATTCTTATCCTCGAATTTGCCAGTCTTGAACATTTCCTCGTCATTTTGCAGAATGTACAGACGATCAAGTTGCACCTCTCTGCTCCTGCACGAGTATTCTAAAATCAAGATGTCATACAGTAAATTATTATTTTTTATATCAAATTTTCATGCTGCAAAAAAGTAGGGATAACACATTTATATATATGTACACAATAGGTTTAAATCCAATACAGAATTATTCTTAAATCCTGCATTGAAAAAAATAGAAAGAAATAACATTAATAGGCAAGATTAATCAGATTCTTCCAAATAGATTAGATATCTTTGAAAATAGAAAAAAGGTATAAACTTTATAAAACTATTAATACTTTTCTTTTTTAAATTTTTGATAAAGCAAAATATTCTATGAATATTTACTGATACTTGAAGCATTGTACAATTCATTATAATTCAAAAATTAAATTCTGAATGGATTATGTTTATGTAACAAATCTTGTCTTGTTTTATACTCCAGCTATATTCCTTAAAGAATATCAATTAAATGTTATGCTGCAAAAAATGTTATATACATGCAAATTAAATTAGGTATATCAGTTTTCAATTGTCTCGCAGTTAAGAGGAAACATAAAGAAATGCACCTTCCATAAATCCATACATTTCAATAACTGGTATGTACCGTTGCAGACTCGTAATGTCAAAGAAGGTACCCCAGGGTAAACGCTCCTGGGATCCTACGTTTCTGCTCCGCCAGTGGTACAGATTACCTGGAACAGAGATCGAGAGATGCACACGATTGCCCATAAATTGTAAATCCTGTGTAATATGTGTACACATCCACAGTTCGTATGTTACCCCATGGCGGTAGAACCAATTGCCACTGGAATTCCTTGTCCCTCTCAATTAGTCTTCTCAAGAAAACGGCGACGCGAACGTACACGTCTCTTCTCAGATTGAAGCCCTCCGGGGGATTCACGTCGTAAAGGATGTAACTGTGCAAAGGAAGCGCATCGTGAATCTTTGCTCAGAAGCAAGACAGGGGACGAAAAACATGAAATAAACAAAGGGGATAAACAAAGGAAATAAACAAATAAATAAAGAAAAAAAAAATACGGCGGAGGGTTATAGATTGGTTGAAACAAATTCGCAAGTTTACTTTCTCCGACGCTCGAGATCACTCGACAGGTCCTCACCGTTTTCTCGTGAAGCGATTCTGCGCCGGGCATCTCGAGTCCACGCTGCACCCGTCCGGCGCCTCGCAGAATCCGGCCTCCCTGTCACTCGCGACGAACGCGATCAAAGTAACGGCGCACAGAATTCTCAAGGCGGACATCGCTCACTCGCAAAAAAAATCTCACAATTGAATATCAGCTGATCGGCACCGCGCGACGGGGAATAGATTAAAAAGGCGATCGGCCGAAGGCAAGTTCAGGCAGATTTCGCGACTGTCAAATGGACCCGGGGATAACTGAAGAGCGATGACATTACCGATCGAGTCCGTTTTGACTCTCCTCGTATGTACCGATTGAGGCTGGCAAATGCGATCGCGTTTTCACTTGATCAATTTTTATCGACGGTGGAAAGTTTACATTGTAAAAATTGAAAGCTATATAAAACAAATGCGATATTGCGAAGTGGTGAGGATCCGAATCGAAGAAATAATTTGTAAATCACACATTATAAATATCGATTATACATCAAATAAAGAATCTATTATTCCATAAAAGGCTCATAAAGTTTCGAAATAGCAGTGGCTATACAGTTGATACGGTTCATACAGTAATTCAACGTAACACAGGTTTTCGTTGAGTTGCGCGTAGAGGCGTCGCTAAACGGATTCTATCCGAAACGCGAGCACGTGTCCACTCTCAGACTTCTCTGGGTGGTGCTTCGGGTAGTGTCACGTATCTCTGCTGATACCCGCGGTTCTACGCGAAGCTGGGATTACCCGGTTTCTCGAAATTTTCGCGAGCACGTTACTCGACGGATCCACCACTGGACGCTTCGCTCTCTCGGCTCGGCTGTTGGTTTTTTGTCACGCCCTCGTTTTACCGTCGTATCTGTTTGAGACTTCCGTGGACCACCGGTTTGTCTTCAACTGTCACTCGGCAGCGAACGGAGGTGTTTTCTCGCGAACAAACAATGCAATCCGTAAAATCATGAAGTTCTACGAGGTAATTGACTTTGCGTGTGCTCGAATCTTTAGGTCGCGAGTCGCGTGACTCGTGCGATTAACGCCGACGGCAAGAAATATACGATCTACAAATGCGAATATCTCTTTTCTGTCGAACAGAATCCGAATTGCGTGCCTCTGGAGGAGCTGCAGCTGAATATCAGGAATGACGGGGTGATCATCGTGGTAGATGCACTGGTACGTTGATTCTCGAATCGTGGCACTGCACAGAAATTCATATCCGTATCAAAATCGTGGTCGGATGCCTTTAAACGGCGGCGTGCACGTGAGCCAGATGTTACTTCAATTTCCTGTGTATCTTCGAACGTATCGAATTTCAGAATGCGAAGTGGACGGACAAGCGTTATTTCCTGCGTTACGAAGTGCCGGAGATATGCAATGAGGACGGGTCGGAAATTGTGGGTGCCAAGGACCACTGGCTGGAGGTTGTGAGTTACATCATCGAGGATCTGAACTGGTTACTGGATCTCCCGTTTTATCGGTGCGACAGAGCTTCTATAAGTAAACATCATTGACGGCAGTTAACTGCGAGCTTGCTACAGATAGTTTTCTTTATCTAGATTCTGGTCCAATATTGCGTACAACACCTCGATTATGGAAACGTTAGTGTCTTTCCTGCAGGAGGCACCGCCTTTCTACGCCTTGGAGAATTTCCCCGCCGAGCCAAGGATGCTCGAGGCGCTGGATAATCTTCGTCGCAGCGTGCTTGTCATCTTCGCGCGTCTCTGCACAAACAAGCAGAGCCCGGCGGAGTACATGAACCGTCCGTTCCTTGGGAACCTATTATATAACAATTATATATTTACAATTCCAATCATATTTGATCTATGTCAGCTCTACGGTAGGGAAAGTGCCAAAGTTGTAGAGAAAATTGTAGCTAGCGTATTTAGTCTGCAGCCGATGTACAAGGATGACCTTCAGAAGTCTGTGCCGTGCCTTATAAAGGTGAGGTATATTTAACTATGATGATAAGAGGGAAACATTAACTTTTTTGTATTATACATTTTAGATCGCTGGTTCTGTTTGTGTCAGCCACAGACATGAATTTAATAGATTTAATTAATCTTATTCTCAGTTAAATTCTTAAATGTGATTATTATAGCGATCATTACATGATAAAAAATTAAGTAGAAACTTAGAGATTATAAAAAAAATTGTGTATCTATAATCTTTATTGTCGATTGAATTAACCCATCGATTATTCTTGCTGCCGTAGGCTTTTGAAAATGTTGAACGACGATTTGAGGACTGTCCAAGTAATGCAACTGAGGCAGTGGCGCTTTCAGAAAGAGGTAGCTCCACTGAGATGACGTTGTATAACTTAGAGGATCTGATACTCTATATTCTAGATGTATCATCAACCCTTACTGTATTATTAAAAAGCTATCCTCCAATAATTGCCACATTTCACATAGACGACTTCATAAACAAGTGAGTAAAGGCTCTACTTTACCAGTATCTAATTAATCTAACATATATTTCGTAATATTCTTGCCAACATTCACGCATTTATTGAACCAGAGTTTTTTTTTAATACTCGACGGTTTTTTACTAAATTCAAATTATCTCATTTGTACAGGTATACACTCTTTACTCAAATGCTCAATATATTTTTATATTTTACTAGTATCTAATTAATCTAACATATATTTCGTAATATTCTTGTCAACATTCACGCTTTTATTGAACCAGAGTTTTTTTTTAATACTCGACGGTTTTTACTAAATCCAAGTTCTTATTTGTGCACGTATATACTCTTTACTCAAATGCGCAATATATTTTTATATTGGTACCACTATATCGTTTCTGTTTGCTAGGATAGTTTCATTATATGGGAATACAATACCTGAGATGTATAAAAAGTTAGACAAGTTAGCATATAGCGAGGAAAATATGCCAAAGTACATTGAATTGAAGCATCGTCTCGACGTAACCAGAGTGGAGATGTTAAATCTTTATCGAATTATTACCTACGAGCCCATATTACATATTCAAGAAAAGCTGTAAGTGTGAGAAGATATCGTTTTATGATGAAAACAATTATACGGACGTGTTCTGATTCAGATATTTGATTTACTTATCGACGTTACGTCTGCAGAAACACGATAACGGAAGGCGAGATAAGAAAATACATAGACGAATACTTGGATTTGCTAATGAATGCGATATCTGAAAAGGAATTCATTATGGATTATCATCAGTTTTACCCAATTGATCTCGATCTCGCGACTATAACTAATCTTTGTCCTGAAATGTATCCTTTTTTTTTTTAAAGAGATCATAATATTATATCATTATGCAAGAGAAAGGTTTTTAAATCTTGATTTTCTTTACACATCTAATGATCAGTGATGCGATAAAATGCAAGTATATGTTACAAGCGTTGCAGGTATCGATTGGAGGTACTAAGACGTTAACTAATGCATCCCTCGGTGATACAAATGTAAATAACAATCTTTCAAATATGTGTATAGATATCGATTTTACGAACGTATGTATTGGTTTATTTAAAAACGTTACGTTATAGATAGCTGTTGCTGGACCTAGCGGTATTCAAAGCAGCAAACGAAAAGAACATTCCAACAATGTGAATTGTATAAACAATAAGACGGACTCTGGTTTAAAAGACCCTGACAACTTGATATTTCTCATCTCGGAAGTGAAGGAGATTTTGTGCGACTGTGGTGAAGGTTTCATACAGGTAAGATTTTGTCGTATATTAAGTTTATTAAATTTGTAACTGGAAATAGTGGGTGAGAAGAGCAAAATATAAGACTACTAAATTCGCCAAATAAATGATGTTAAGCAGTGCCTTTGTAAATTTATGCGCAAAAATTTAAAACTTTCAGATGTGTTTAAAGCATTATGATTATAACGTTGAATCTGTGGTAAATGCAGTTCTGGAAAATAATTTACCGCATGATTTGAAAGAATTAGACTGGACGTTACCGTATATACCACCCGATCCAATGGTGAGTGATAGAATTAATCTCTGTGTTACGATAAGTCGACATAGCGAGAATTAATGTACTATGTTTCTTCTAGGAATCATCGGCTGCTGTCGATCTGGCCAGCAATTTTCAAGAGTTGAGCGTTTCCTGCAACGATGAATTCGAAGTTATGACAGAGTTATTTGAAGACACGCCAAACGTAAGGAACACGTAAGTGTCATCGATGTGATCGAAAACTATAATATCGAATTAATACAAAATTTACGCATCTTGACATCGAGCCTGTTACAATTAAAATGTATCTTTCTTTTTCCTAGGAAATATAAGTACAGAAACGCGAACGAAATGTTGAACGATAAATCCGAAATTAAGGAATCTATGAATATCTATGAAAAGTACAGCCTTGTCGTCGATGAGTACGATGATGAGTACGACGACACATACGACAGCCATGACATCCGTGGTAGTGCACCGGATGATTCTACAGAAATGGAGGCCAGGCCTTTCACTGTTCCGAGGGTAAGTTTAAATATTCATCTTCATCTTTAGTTGTTTGTAATTTTACGTGAATTTTCTGTGCAATAAATTTGTTACGTAGGTGCTGCTGCAGACACGTGATAAAAATAATGCTAGCTCGGACGATGACGCGGAGGTTGAAGACGAGGCACCCGTACAAAGTAATAACCATTTCGTGCAAAATCCAGCGGAATTGCGTGCTAGAGCCGAAGAACGAAGACAATCGAGAGAAGGCAAGAGTGCGCACAACGGAAACGGTAAATTACGAATTATTTTTTAAATTCTATTAATTTTTGTAAATTTCTTTAAAATTACTTTATAGAGCTTCATAGTTATTAAGTTAAAAACACGCGATAAGACTCGAAATTTTATTTTCATCCGATAAATATACAAAATTGCTGTCTCAACTTATAGAATTATGTCATTTATATTTACATAATATGTTCAATGAAATATTTATTTTAATTTTATATTATTATTATTTATTACGTTCCGGAATGACATCTGAAATTTACTATTAATTGTATAGTATAATTTAACTAAATGCTTTGCGAATAACCAATTATATTTTTCTCTTTGATTTGTTTGCATTTCAATACATAGATTTTTGGTGATCTAATAAAGTTTGCATTATTGAGTATTCAGATTTTAAATTATAATTTATTATTATTTTTTTAAGGCAAACCCAAAGGTGAGAACAAAGGTGAGAATAACAGGAGGAAAACTATGTACAAGGCTTCACACGGCAATCACAATCGGCGCATGGGTGCTCAAGTAAAAAGAAGACAAGGAATGATTCCATCTTAGAGCTCCCATATTTTCGCGCAAGATTGGGATGTGACAAGGAATGATTCCATTTTAGAGCGGCATGTTTTCGCGCAAGATTGGATGTATATACTGCCAAGCAATAAACATATTATTAGTTATTTAATCCTCTCGCAGAAATAAACGTTCTTATAATTTCTATTTGTCCGTTTGATTATCTCAAGCTGAGAACGTGAATAAATACATATTTCTATTGAAAAATTATTTTATAAAAAAAAAGATATATAAACAGAATTTTTTAGAGGAATGCGTTGTACTTGTTCAATGGTCCTTCACTATAGTCAGCGATCGCAATCTGTTCAATTCAGTGTTTATGATTCGCTGATGCTCCTCCTCAGGTACTATTGTTGTGCTCGACGTGAATTCGGAAGAGCATTGAATTGGCATCAATTGCGTGTACAACTGCGTCGCGTGCCCGTAATAATTCAGCTGTATCATAATCCCGGCGTGAATGCTCGGATTGATGTACTCCAATCTCTTCCCGAGGAACGTCGGTAATTCCGTGAGTAGTTGAGCGTGTATGGTCCTCAGCTCTTTCGCGGCCGCCTCCTCCGCTCGCCGTTCCCTCTCCAGCTTCGCGATGTGATTCGCCGTTCTGTCCTTCTTCTCTTGCAACTTTTTTACGCGATTATGCATGCCCCTCCACGTCTCCACTAGATGATCGCGCTTCGCTATCGCCGCCTCGATGGTGATAAATTCATTTCTGAACTTCTTCAGAGGTTCTATGAACGTCTTATGGCACAAGTTACTGATTTCTTGAACGTTCTTTCCCACCTGATAGCGAAACGCAGTGTGTGTGTTACAGAATCTCAAGGGGGAAGGGGGGGACATTAATATCGCGTCTAAAACATCATTGACTTACTTGTGTAGCGACGGAATAGTACTCTTCCACTATCCTTCTACATTCATTATTGTTCTGCGCCAGCCCGCAATTGATCAGGTTCGTGCTCAGTCGTTGATCAGCTCTGTCTAGATTCGCCAGAGCTCCTATGTACTTCTTCATTTCCTTAATCAATTTTCTTATTGCGCTTTCAACGCTTGGAAAGAGAGAGGGCATACATTGTAATACATTCAAATATAATAATTGTAGAATAATATTAGTAGAGTCTCGATAATTTAAAACAATAATTTAATATAAAGGGCTATGAGCTGAAGCTAGGATGTACTTTCGCTCCAGTGACATCAAAACGTTAATAACAAATATGATAAAAACAAACATTTTGACCCTTATTAGGTGATCATTATCAATGTTAATAAAACTGTTTCCAGAAAATCGTTACATATAAATTAATTTAAATAACCTTACAGATCTGTATATTGTGGTAAGGTTATTTGAATTAATTTAAATGTAACCATTCTCTCAAAGTAGTTTTATTAAAATAAGAATGCCAGTTTATCCAGCCGATTGTTTAGAAACACGTAACGTGTACGCGTTTGCACAGCGAATCCCATCTCATTGACTGTTCGAGATAAACGTCTGATTATTCTAACATCTCGTCATACGGACGGGACGGGGAAAGGTCGCTCGAATGTTGATAACGCAAATGTCAAAATTGATAATGACCCAATAGGGGCCGAAACGTTTGTTTTTATCATATTTGTTATTAATGTTTCCACATTGGAGCGAAACAACATTCTAGCTTCGGCTAGCATAACCCGTTATACGCATTAAATTATTACTTTCAAATACGTATTTAAGTGACCGTAACAAGTGCGATATAAGAATCCTCGTTTTTGTAAAAACAGCCAAAAGCACTTAATAAAATTTTTATTATTTTTAATCTTAATAAAAATTTTATTAAGTGCTTTTGGCTGTTTTTACAAAAACGAGGATTCTTATATCGCACTTGTTACGGTCACTTAAATACGTATTTGAAAGTAATAACTTAATGCTACGTACTTCTGTACTCTACTATGTAATCGCTATGTACTTCTAAGTTGCAATAGAAGAAGAGAGCTCGTATGTACAGTCATGGACACATCGGTTGCAACACTTTCTTTTTTATAGGTTTCAAAACGCATTAATATTTTGCAAATGTGGACCACGATTAGTGTTATACTGTGTCTAGACTAAAGATAGTACATCGTGGTTCGCATTTGCAAAATATAAGTTATCTATGAAATATATATTATGTATATTAAATGTATATTAGAAACCTATTAAAAAAATGTGTTGCAGCTGATGTGTCCACGACTGTACACATATCGCGCAAACGCATGATCATTATAGACATATGTATGTACAATATAAACGTCCGTCAGGTGTACATACTAGATGAGCTTCTGAACAACGACGTCCAACTCTTTATCCTCCGCATACGACAGGAGCGGCGGCGCGGAAGTCGGTCTCTGGGTCAAGTAGTTTTTCTTCAAGGGATTCCTGTTCGTACGACATACACATCGCAATGTAATAAATTCGCAATTTAAAACGCTAGACAATAGCACGGATACATAATCAACATATTTTGGGAATTAACTGGCCTACTTACCACGTCATGTTCGATGTCAGCAAATGTTAGCGTAACAATCATTTACATCTACATGAATGATTCCAAAGCTCAGACGACAATCTTGTGTGCTGTTGCAGCTATTTGCAATCTTTATCCGTATCTTACGATCGTCTGGTTCACTCCGTGGACATTCATACGATCGTGTCCTCGATGAAAACACGCGTTCGTACGTACACGATACAGAAAACTGTTATATTATTGTTAATTAGCACGCGATCAGAATGCCAGTTGTTTATCCAGCCGATTGTTTAGAAACACGTAACGTGTATTGTATATGCGTTTGCACAGCGAATCCCATTCTCGTTGACCGTTCGAGATAAACGTCTGATTATTCTAATCATCTGTCATATGGACGGGACGGGAAAAGATCGCCCGGACGTTGATAAAGCAAATGTCGAAATTGACAGGCATGTTACGTGTAGATACATGTCATCCTCGCAAGCTGCACTCACACGACGGCCTTTCGCACGTTAACCTCAAAATGCCCTCGTGCACTAACGCCACCTGAAGAGGTGGATGTAAACTACGTGGCAACATTCACTTTTCTGCACCGCGGGTAATTTGTGGTTCGTGTCCGTGCTACGTCCACCCTTCGGCACAATTGCGTCATTGCGTTGCGATCAGCTGCAAGGCGTAATCAGGAGTAATTTGCGTTTTTGGAAGACAAGGAGATTCGACGACGATGTTTCCCGCTTACGCACACTTGTCGGCCTACGACAGGCACAAGAAACTCGTGAACGACTATCTGACATTTTACGGAAAATCCATATCGTCGTTCAAGCGAGACACGTAAGTTGAATCTTTCGTTTGACAGTTTACGGATGTGGCAGAAGGTTATGTTATTGTTAGACGATGTGTTTCTCCTTTTGTCACTTAGGTATACGTTGGATCATTTTGATTAACTTCACTTTCTGTGATCCTCTGCATTTTTACATTTTTCTCTCGTTTCCACAAGTGATTGAATATACCAAGGGTATTCTTGAAAATATTTCATCAAAACTTAATCCTTGTATTTTGTAATTGTAACGTAAAGCTTAATATGATCAGATCTACGAATACTTCCCTTCCTGAATTCGTAGCCCTTTAAAATTTTGTATATTCTATATTTTATGCTACTATATTTCACTATTAGATCTTTTCTATTTGCATATTTCTCAGTTTGAATGTTGGATGTTACTTAATATAACTTTGTATTTTTTGTAGTTATAACATAAAACTTAATATGATCAGATCTACGAATACTTCCCTTCCTGAATTCGTAGCTCTTTAAATTTTTTTATATTCTATATTTTATGCTACTATATTTCACTATTAGATCTTTTCTATTTGCATATTTCTCAGTTTGAATGTCGGATGTTACTTAATATAACTTTGTATTTTTTCATTAGCGTAATTAATAGAAGGTACTGACCAGCAAACGCAATTTGGTTGAAAATTTTAAGAACTTTCATTATGTTTATTTCGTATTCTCGGCGTATAAAATAGAGCGTAGCTAAAGAAAGCTATTACATATCTCAAAAATATATATCGTTTATGGCGTTTCCTTTTGCAATGGATTTATTATTCATTAGTAGTACATGAAAGTTATAATTAGATAAACTTTGTAACAAACAGCACTTGACGTTTCGAGGTCCCTGGACAAAACTGACTATGATGTCATCAGAGAGAATCACAAGTTTCTCTGGGATCAGGAGAAGGATATCCCCGACACATGGGGCGCAAAATTAGCTAAGAAATACTACGACAAGTTGTTCAAGGAATATTGCATATGCGATCTTACATATTATAAACACAACAAGGTATGAAAGTGTGTCTCATATTTGCGTATATCTGATTTTATATCTTGAATTTATTAAAAATTATGATTAAGTTAACATTATTAGCTTATATGACATAATTAACATATCGTAGCTTATGACTCGTGTCATTCTTGCACATGTGAGCGATGACATAAGCCAAAGATGTCTGCAAAAAGAGAAAGAAATTAATGTATGTTCCAATATTGCATAGGTTGCCTTGAGATGGAGAACCGAGAAGGAAGTAATAGTTGGGAAAGGACAGTTTGAATGTGGCAGTAAAACGTGCAAAGAAAAGGAAGGCCTGCGTTCTTGGGAGCTTAATTTTGGCTACGTAGAACATGGCGAAAAGAAGAACGCGCTAGTAAAATTAAGTACGTTTTATAATTGGTTTAAAAAGAACGCAATTATTTATTCTAATATCTCATAATATTGTTTCGCACAAAATAATTATTTCTTCTTTCTCTTTGTGTTAAGGACTTTGCCCAGAATGTTCGGTAAAACTTAATTACCGATCGCAAAAGCGAGAAGTAAAAAGGGGAAAAGCTTTGAAGCGTTTGGACACGAGTTCCGAAAATAGCAACGATGTGCCTACTGTTTCCGGTAATCCAGAATCAAATAATAAAACAGAGACGGATTCCAGGGCTGAAGTACAAAGCAGTGAGAATACCGACAATGAGTCAAATATCTGGAAAGAGAAACCAGCTGAAGATGTGGAAAAGACGAGAGAGAAAGAATTTGAGGATTACTTAGCTGATTTGTTTATGTGAATACTATTTTTAATTAAAATTTATTTTCTTATTATTACTTGATTGTAAATAAATATCGTATAAAATTGTTTCATTTAAATTTCTTATTTAATTTTTTGTAAGGATGTTATTATACGTATCAGTATCGTTAAGATTTTTATAATAAACTATTTCATACATGAAAGATGTTTTTCAGTGACATATGTGCGATACCTTTTTGGTTTAAAAAATTTAAAAAATGAAAGAAATGTATTTATCATAATTCAGTCAAAATAAAATTATTATTATATAATTAACTAAACTTTAATATTAGGAAATGTTTAATTTATGCAAAATAGTACAAAAAATTCTAAGAACCCCTCAATGTAAAATTGTATTTTAATTTTGTATTTAGAGCATACGTATCGTCTAGATTTATTACCTTTCATTTCTTTATAGAGACCGCACTTAATGTATATGAAAGAAAAGAAAAGATAAAATTGGAGTTTTGGGTTTGTGTGGAATTTTTATTTTATTTTACTTAATTTTATTTTTTTATTTTACGTTTTAATATTATATTTTTCTGATATATTTTTAAAAAATTTTTGTCGATAATTAAAGTAACGACGATGGGTTAGAGTTATTGATAAAATCACTTACGTTTTTATACTGTTTACAGTATGAGAATATTCATTAACTAATCGTAAGAACGCAAGTATTATATTGGAATATTTTCACCGCTCATTGATCTAACGGCGCGTGTATTTATTTCTTTTTTCCCCTCCTTCAAAGTGATTGAAGGAGGCTGACAGGTACGTGTGCTCACGTTTCATGCATGATGCGCATAATATATCATTTTATCCTTGTTTCACATTCAGTGAACACAAAAATAAAATGATACATCATGCGCATCACGCACGAAACGAAACGCACGCATGAAGTTTGCAAAATTTTCGACACAGTTAGAGACTGCTAGTCGAAGTCGAAGATCGCAATTTTGATTGTGATTGACCAATCGTAGCTATATACCCCCAACCCTCCCTCTCTTATTATATAGGTCTCAGATTCCTCTCTGCTCTGTTAGCAATATTAATATTTATACTTATATGGTCGTCCTAACTCTTGGTATCTTCTGGTACGAATGTTATGGATGCCGTACACGATATTGTGAATAAAAATCGTTGTTAGATACGTTTAATTTTATTATAGATATATATGAATTTATTAAATAAAAGCTATATTATAATTTTATTAAATGTCAAATTATAGTATTGCCAAAAGAAAAAATAAATTAAAGAAAGGCCAACAATGAATATTAAGTGCCAAAGCGATGCGTAATTGTCAATACGAGGTCAAATCATAATCAAGTCAACGATAAAAATTTAAGTAAGGTGAAATCACTTATATAACAGTGTCAAATTTTAAAACAAACAGTTATAATAATATAGCAATATTAATAAAGTATAGACCATACCAATTTCACCTTACTTATATTTTTATTCGCTGAATTAATAATTTTTTAACAATCCCGTACTGACAATTTCGCATTACTTTGGATTTAATTACTATATTATCGTTAATTTGTAACAAAAAATATATCAATTATATGAATCAATTTTATCAACTGACTACCGCATTATATATATTTTTTCAAATTTACTACGTTTTAAAACAAATATATTTCATATACAATTAAGTTTATTAAACGTTTCATATTTGTTACTCTTTATATTTTATTATTTATTATTATTATATGTTTTACTTCGCACTGTTTATTATCTTTTATATAACGTTGACATTTAATAACTGTGTGAACAGTTTGATATTGACCTCTATAGGCAGTCTAAGCAGTGAATGCCTGTTTTCTATAAATGATCTATATATGTTTAATACTACATTATTTCAAATTTCACTTAATTGTAAACTAATAGCTAATTACACATAGTTTTATTTTTTTATTACTGAAGAAGACTTTGTGAAGTCGAAACATTTAGTCATTTAATCTTGTACTCGCACATTGATTAAATTACTCTATTAATAACCCTTAATAAATTGTTCAGTTATTGGCCTTTTTTTATTTTTTAATTTAACATATTACGAGCCATAAATATTTTACTTATTTTACGAAAAGAAAATTGATTTTATGTATGTTGCTGCGTGCAAAACAAGCTAAAAATCCGGTTATCCTTCTCTCGCAGAAGGGTGCGACTTGATTTCACGACTTGACTGCTGAAAAATGTCTGTCTACTTCCGTTGCGAAGCAGAGAGCCTCCTGGGTACACTTTCCCTGTTTTAAACAAAGTTAACGATTGAAAATCTCAGTCAAGCAAAAGTTTTCTATAAATTTAACTTGATGTTTTTTATTACCTGTGTCAAGTGGCCCTATTTGTGTATACCAAGTTTTAAAGCACCCGTCTTCATATCCACTTAATTGTCGTAAAATTGTCCCTTCTCCAATATAGCGTCTACCACAATTAATTAGCATGATGGAAAAAAGCAAGGTGAAACATTTCGATGGATGCGCAGTCATTCAAAAAGCTCCGACGACGCCGTGGAGAATCGAGATTGCTCGAGGATCACAGCGGACACAAAGCAAGAGAACCGAATTGATCCCAACAGAAGTGTCACGCTCGTTGGTTGCGACCATACTGTTGTCAATGCGCAAACGACTCAAGGTATGTGATTTTATCGATCTTCTCTAAATGATTTAAATTAAGGAATCTTATCAAATTAAGCGTTTGTTGCACCAGTGAGATATTCTGCCCCACACAGCATGAAATATTTTTTGTGGATCATTTTTTGAAATATTTCAATTAAATATTTCGAAGTATTTGGAAAACATTTGCAAAACATTTTAAATTATTATATTAAAATATTTTACAAAAATAGAAATATTGTACGAATATCGTAAGAAATATTTTTGTTGAAACATTTTAAGAAATATTTCGAAAACTCTGATTTCCTAGACATATTTATATTTCAGAAATACTTCATGAAATATTTTTAAATATTTCAAATCTTGCATGAAATATTTTGGAAGTATATGTTTAAGTATATGTTTACTTCATGCTGTGTGGGGCGTAACAAATTATAGCAGTAAAAAATCGTACGTTTTACATTATCTTCGCACATTTTTCTAGACGGTCAGCTGACGACAGGCGAGGTCTCCGTAGACAATCCGAATAAATCGAAGAACATATCGTCGAAAAGCGAACGAAAGGAGGAGATCAGCGTGAGAGAGACGAAGGACAAAGATCTGGAGCAATTAACGTTCCAATTGTTACGTTATTTGGAGACTAAAATGACGAATCTTGAGGAGGAGGCGATTTTGTGCATCATCTGCGAGGAACATCGTCGTAACGTCGCCTTTCTATGTGGACACAGCGCGTGTAAGCACTGCGCCGCTAGCTGAAGACTTGTCACATATGCCGCAAGGCGATCAAAGAGAAGATCAATTTGTATTAAACTGTCCGATCAATGATCGCTCGCTTAGACTATTTGATCAATAATTACACCGTTGATTCCCACGTGATGCGCGCATGTATAGCGTATCTCGGGAGGGAAGATTGGTACACCTGTGATAATAATATAGTAAAATGGCCTTGATACGTCCAGTTCTGAACAATTTGAACGCTCTTAACATAGCTCAGTATAAGAGACATGTTCGTAGAAATTTTTTTACTCGCTATGTTGCACATTTACCTCGAGACCGGAGACTGATTGCTTAAAGGGAAACTCTGCCAGACTTGGGTGTCGGTAAATTTTTCTTAAAATTTTAATTCCCAAAAATCAAGAAAACATTGTAATTATAATATAATTGGAAAGACGGATCCAATCAAATTTCTGAGATCGTGATTGTAAAATCTTTTGTGAACTTTTAATTTTCTTTTAACTTTGAGTTCGTGAATTCGAAACACGAGAAAATCATATTTAAATGTTTATGAAGTATTAGGAATATAACAAGGGGTATACGTAGAGGTAAAAGCAGTATAAGTCACAACTCCGGGAATTTCGAAAATTCAGATTTTATTTATTACTTATTATTTTTCTTGTTTACTGTACATCATGAGCAATATTTATATGAACTAAAAAGGGATAGGAAATTAACAAAACTGGACACATGCCTTAAACCCGCTAAAAATTAGTAACATTTTAGTATTAAGATATTTCTGGCGCTCATTACACGAATTACAATATGTTACGTACTGTTAATATATGTGTTGTATAACAAAATAATTTCCTGCAATGAAATATAAATAAATTTGTATAAGCTGTATGAATGAGGATTATTCATGCATGTTTCCAAAAAGCTTTCAGAATTCATTTTAAAGCCTGAAGTATTATAATTATGTAAGATGGAATAAATTTTTATTCCTTTTATGTGTGCATTAATTTCATACTAACGAATCAACATTCTTCTACGATTTTTCTTCTATTGTGTTCTATGACAATTTTTAATACGTCCTACAATTTGATCGTATACAAAGGATATTGTCGCATTTTCTTGCAGTGTAAAGGCTTATCTAATATTTTTTAACAAAAATCTAGTGTAACTTGTTTACATATTTTATTTTTCATTATCTAATCAATTATAATTCATATCTATCGACTATTTACGTATTACTCATTCGAAGAATGTATAAGATTATATTTAATATTTGTTCTGTACACCTAACCTAAATTGCACAATTCACTTAGGGTTTGTTGCAACAATTCTATCATTTCCATTTCAATACAGGCTTATATTGCATATAAAAAGATCGGGCTGCTACTCAATTTTACAATAAGTTTAATATCGTTGATGTTTTCTATCAAAACTTCAAATATATATAACTCCTCAGCATTATAATATTTATATATGTATAATATATATTAATATATATATATATATATGTATAATTATATGTAAAGTTAATATACAACATATACAATGCTAATAAAATCTGTTACGTGCTGTGTAATTCGATATCTAAAGATTTCATAATATGGACATTTTGTGCGCTATAATATTACATAACAACGTCCTAACTACAAAAGTATTAAATATGCCTTCCGAGGAGTTATTAATATAGTCAATCTAAATATTGCCAAGTTTCATCTTTTCTATCAATATTGTTTAAAAAATATAAATTATCGCATATACTTTGGGACTAAATATTGTTACTAATGCGGCTGCATAACGCGTCATATATGCTACAATGATTCCTCGAAACGTAAAATTCTACATAATATACATCAATCCTTTCGATTTTCAGTCAATTATGCAAGATAAAAAATTGATTATCATAAAATATGACCTCAATTGCAATTTACGTTCTTTGTAGATACTCTCATTTGATTAGCTTGCTTCTGCGAATCGCTATCATCATCGCTACAATCCTCATCGTGTGTATGTGTAACATTACGTGGCGTTTCCGGTCTTGCATGTGGGATTTGATTGTTGAAATGATCCACATACAAATTTTTCTAAACAAAAGAAATATTTATAAAATATTTGAGATATATTCCCATGTTGATCAATTCATATCGGATTATCATGATCGCAATGTTCTTAGAAATACTCACAGAAGAAGGCCGATTATGTTCCTCTTCCTCGTCCGCCAGTTTAAACGTTCTCGAACGGCTTATCATCGGCGTTTCCATAACAAATCTTTGTTCATGTGCCACCGTACTCTCATGAGGCATCTGAAAATGTAAGGAGAATCTATATATATGATTGTCTCACAGTAAATAAAATACAATTTAAATAAATTTTGTGTACCTAATGCCAACTTACCAGCATAGCAGGTGCTCTGAACATATATGAGAAGGGATAGTAAATCAGATTCAGGAAAGTCGCCGCGTACAGATCGGCGTACCTCACGACTTGACTACTGAAAAACGTCTGTCTACTTCCGCTGCGAAACAGAGAGCCCATCATGCCGTAAGCTAAGTCCATTTTGTGCGTAACGTCCCTTATCGACGCGCGTAACTTGGAGATATCCGGCTTTTCCTTTGTACTACTGTCTAAATTTCTAAACAGAGTGTAATGGACGCGACATTAATAAAAGTACGTAAGTTGCATGTATTTTATGCACAGATTTCTACTTCTAGAAATCTGTGATTTTATGTAACGTATTTATTATTGCTGCGATTACTTACTTGTACATTTCCCCGAGCATAACGTCCAAACTCTGTAATTCGGCAAACAATTGACATTTGTCGGTCCAAACGTGTAGCTCTTGAACCAACTCGGGGACTATTAAAAATGTCCTCCAGCCCCTTATCTTCTTGCTCTTTAAAATATCACCGAATATATGATCACCGACGTATAACACATCTTTTCCTTTCGCGCCAATTAATTCTGTGAAAACGTCGCACGACCCTCCGGAGTACACTTCCCCTGTTTTAAACAAGTCGACGATTAAAAATTTCAGTCAAGCAAAAAAAGAGTTTTCTATATATTTAAAACTTGATGTTTTTTATTACCTGTGTGAAGTGGCCCCTTGTGTGTGCCAAGTTTTAAAGCGCCCGTCCTCGTATCCACTTGTCGTAAGATTGTCCCTTCTCCGAAGAACAGTGGCTTTCTGGCGTCAACTACAATTGTGTCGAAATAGGTATTCCAATTTCTATGAGGTTCGTCAGGCTGAAATGAAAGCGATATATTAAAAAAAACTATTTATACCTATATAATACTTTGTGTGAATATGTTTCATCGTGAGTATATTTCGTGAGTATTTCTCGCACTTAACAAGATTTTTTGAATAAGAAATTCAGAAGAATTTGGAAAAAAAAGAATTTTTCAATATAAATATACAGAATCTATTCCAAGGTAAATGAATAAAAGATCAAAATTTTATTAATGTCATGATATAAATTTACTTGATTAATATGTATCGAGGGATTCTTCAAATTGTTAACTTTCGCTTGGCAAACATAACTCGCTAATTTGAGGCAATTAATTTTAAGAATGTTGACAGTGAATGAGAGAAAACGTACCCGTGCACCGTGTGGAAAATCGAACAAATAAGTCATAATTTTGTCCGTGAAAACGTAATCACTGTTAGTTAATAAAAACACTTTCGCTCCGCTCTCTCGGATTCTCGTAAGGAACATAGGCAACCTCTCGTCCTTCTTTACGTATTCGTCTAAGTTCTCGATAGTCTTCGATTTCAGATCACCGTGAAGGTGTATCCAATCTACCGCGCTTCGGACGTCCTGAAATATGCTTTTGAAGCTCATGGTGAGCTCACCTTCTTTCACGCCGGTCCTTTCTCTGGTATATTGCGGCGAGTTCGTGAAAAAGTCTATCAGACACGCCAGCAAATAGGTCTCCGGTAGATTGAACAAGGTATTGAGCACGTAAACTCTAGACTCGTCTAATTGTAGAAATTTATTTGGATAAAGCTCGTAAACCTGAGAGCTGAAATGGAACAGATCGAATACAGAGAGAGAGAAATAAGAGAAAATATGAAGCTGCGTGCAAGAAAGACGCGGCAAGCGTAATGTTTATTTTTATCCCTTACTGTTTCAAGAACTCGAAGCCGTGAACACAGACTAAGATATTCCCGTAAGCGTCCACTTTCAGCAGATTCCCATGTAAGGTGTCGAACCACAGTCCACGAACGGGAAAACTGGGATCGTATTCGAAGGCCTTGATTTCCTGCGGATATCCCAGCGACACTAGGCGATCCTTGAGCAGATTGAAGCCCAACTGCTCGTACTGCGGCGACTTGTATTCTAAAATGTTTTCGTGTAACACAGTGACGTTTTATCTTTGGCTCCTCTTTTAGAGAAAAAAAATATAAGAAAGGAATACAACGAAATAATTACCTGCCAATGTGTAATCCATGTCGAAGCCATAGAACTTGATGTTCTCCAGATGAAGGCTTCGATTGACGAAGATCCTGCGAAGAACAAATTGACGATTAAGAAACATCGTAAAATTAATCGATTTACGGTGATTAGAATTTATAAATTGAAAAGTTCGCAATATCAATTTGATTTAATGAGGAAAATTCAGCGAATCCTATTTGGCGACGATCTTTGTCGCGGTTGCATACCGATAACAACTCGCATTCCTCGAAATCTTCCTGTTGACAGAGAAACGATACCTATAATCATGGTAGTTTCATAATATCGAAATCAATTTCTCGCCCGTATTACATGCTACTTTTTAAAGCAGTGATCATTTCGCTACGATATTAAAGACGGAAGAAGCTGTCGTCAGATTTGATGGATTTGACATGTCGGACAAATCGCGATACCAATGAAGTGTTAGTAATCGAGTAACAAAATATTCTTTTCTTTCTCTTTCATTCTTTTCTTTTCCTTTCTTACCGTTTTCTTTATTAATCTAATTACATTATAATTACTGTACGCCAAAAAAGATACGTAAATCTACAAGGAGAGAATTTTTTTAAATTTATCCTGCAATCATGTTAATTGTGGGACAATATAGTATTTGAACAAATTTTACTCTGCACTACAATAAGTATTTTACAGTAAAATTTATTGTAGTGCACAGTAAAATTTGCCTAAATATTGTCCCACATAACATGATTTGCATGGTAAATTAAAAAAAAATTCTCTCCGTGTATAATCTTCAGTATACTTCAGCTGTCGCAATAAAGCGCAACAACTAACGAAATGGTTTTTTAAATTGCGAAAAAATTCTTCCGTTAGGTTTAATTTAATATTAATTATTAATTTTACATCTTTTAATCATTCTCGACAATTTAGTTTAGCGTACAAACTCCGTTTAACATATCGAACTAAATTATCGGTAAGAGCATGCCTTCTTCTGAGACGGGCGCTTCTGTGTGAAAGCTCGCCCACAGTGCAGCGATTGTTCTCAATACACCGTGCCGACCGTGCAATTAATTATTTCGAAACGCGCGGAGCCACAAAGAGCCACGTTACTTATCATCGCTCGAGGCATTCGTGTTGAAAATTATGCATTTTGAAGTCGGGACGCGTTCTCAGTCCAACTTTCAAATATGTGAGAATCATCGAGCCGCCGCACGCATTCCGTATATATAGCGATATACTTTTACAGCGTTAATTAAACGATCTGACATAAAGTGTGGATCCAACACTAACATTTAATTTTTCTATTTCCCAGTCTCGATCACAAGAAAACTCGATCGTTCTAAAATTTCTTGAATTTCTTTCATTATCGATACAATAAAAAAAGATTTTTTTAACAACAAGAAATTATAAACTATCGACGTAGGATTAGATAATATTCTAATTAAAAAGACAAAAAATCGATTTTATGCACAAAAGAATTAAGTTTCTTATATTTTAGATAATCAGCAATGTATATATAAAATAATTAGGAAAAAATAGAGGACTACGAAAAAAAAATAATTTCCGAAGATTTATAACAGCTTTTTAAAATTTTTAGACAGCTTTTGCCGCGCCGGATCATTTCACCTCGCTTAAGTTAATAATAATAAAAAATAAAGATACAAATATTCTTGCTTTATACATATCGTTCTTTCGGCGTGACTAGAATGTTCACACCTGCATCGGATTTCCGCTCCGCGTCAGGCTCATTATAATATCAGCCGTTTGTTCCGTTTTTTCGATTCTGCTGTCAGTCAAGATTTTCTTCTCGTAAATCGTTTTCTCGAATTTTCACTTGTTTTCTCAAATCTATACAATTTGAATAAAGTAAAGGACGAATAACTTACTCGTTCTGTACGCACTGTCGCGAATTCACAAAATTCGCAGTTGGCGAGACGTCGTCGTTCACATCCTTCAGCCACATTTTTCCACAGAATAAATCAACTAATCATCAATATTCCGCGATCGATTTGCATTTATCGAGTAAACAATATAAATGCGACGGAGCCTCAAGGCGGAGTCTAAAGAGATCGGTCAATAAGTTAAGACAAAATATAGTCTAGAAGGAAATCCGAATTTCCGGTAATAATATATGTATGCAATAAATGTGACGTAATATAAAGATGGTATTAATAAATATGTCGAGTTAACTCGGAACACATGTAGCAAGACCAAAAATAAAGTTCGACCCACGCGTTCGTAGGGATTCTTTTTTCTTTTATATTTCGCGCATTTATTCTTTTAAAGTACAGATATTCAATTAAGAACCACCTCGTATAATTATTATCCAAATTTATAATAGTGCAACGTAAAATATTTTTACTTATATGTGCGATTTGACACATATATAGAATTATAAAAATTTAAATAAAATTCATTTCAACATTTAATTAAAACGTTAAAATGTAAAAAACCGTAAAAGTTCAAATGAAATTCCCGAATTTCGGCTTGAATCGCAGATTCGTCTAAAACGGATTTTGGCAACAAAGACAATAAAGAGGATTGTCGTTTGATGCGCTGCTGATAACACCGATTCAACGAATACACAGCTTGGTTAGCACTTTATTGTTTAGCACTCGTGTTTTCCGCAGAGAAGAAAAAGCTCGCGGTCGCGCGAGGAAATTCTGTGCGCGAGGTCGTTTCGTTCACCGAAATTTGATAAAAATAAAGAGAGAAGAGAAATATCGCGATGCTAGTCGACAAAACGTGACGCAGGTATACTGCAGCACAAAAGGAACGTGTGTTCACATTCGAAAGAAAGCTTTTTATACATAGCGATCTGCGAAATATCTCCTTCAGCGTGTGTTTGGCAGATCGTTTTGAACCAGAATAAAGTCATGGACTCTCGATGACGCACTCACGCGGACAAAAGCCCTCGAGCCCGGATTATCGCGGCACAACGTAAGTCACGGTTCGGAGCGAGCGAGCGAGCGAGCGAGCGAGCGTGAAAGGCGTAGCTTCGACGGTGAAAGAAAACGACGGCGACGACGACGACAACGACGACGACGATGCTGTCCGCTCAATGACCAAACGTCAACTGGTCCGTGGTGAGCCGCCGGAGTCGGTTAATACGCAACGATGGGAGCTAATTCATCGTCTTCCGGACGCAAACCTCCCCCAGTCCGAGGTGATCGCGTGCAGGACTGTTGTTACAAGCCCCACCGGCTAGTTCAAGAGAGTTCTGTATATTTGCGCTCGCTTGAATTCACATCGTAATTATGGAGCCGCCAATACACCAAGACGCGATGACGCGTATTTCGGTGCAACGCCGAGAAGCGCGCGGCGTGAGGACGAAATCGCGCGTTCTTTTCTCCATTTCCTCCGTTCTTCTCTCCTCCGACGCACGCCCGGAGTGCAAGACGCCGCGTTGCCAAGATATTGCAAACTCGTTGCTCCTTTCCTTTCCTTTCCTCTTTTGCATCGATAACGGAGGTAACCCCCGCGAACTTTAACGGAACGCGAAACGGCTCACGCGAATCCAGCCAGGGCGCCAGGTGAGTCATATCACCTTGTGCTTGGTACTTGGTACACGCGTGAGAACTTGGCCGTATCCCGTATCTAATTTTAGACGTCCTGAAATCGTCAATTTCGATCCTACACGTATGCCGAATGAACTTTAAGAACCGCGGGGAGACTCACGTTACCGTATGGCACGGTATGCGCGCCGGTGTCCCACCCGTCCGACGAGTACGGATTCGAGTACGCGATTAGAGATTTGTACGACTTGATTAAATGGAACACAGTGTGACATTCTAAATCCTAAATATATATTTTTTTCTACGGAAGAACGACTTATGATGGAAAGAGAAAAAGATGTATTTTAAAAACGGATAATGCCTTATGATAGAAAGAAAATAACACGGAATGAATGATTTTGCTGGAAGATAAAAAAAAAATCTGAAAATAATTTTTATTAGAGCACCATCAAAACAATTTTGTTCGAAGGTCAAACTGATTGCTAGAATATGATCAAAACTTTTTATAGCGATGCTTATTTTGAATTTCCGACCAATTATTTTGATGGTGCTCTAATAAAAATTATTTTCAGATTTTTTTTATCTTCCAACAAAATCGTTCTTTCCGTGAAGATATATTTTAATTATTATTACTAATAATATTATTTACATTAAATTATTATTTATATTGATAATAATAATTCTATGCGTAAATAAAATAAATATATTTAATTCTCTTTTCGAAGTTATCCTTTCAAAAGATTATTGAAGTGTGTCTTCTCTTTCTGTTCGTGGCATATTGCGGCTGATAACGCGAAACGAGTTCGATCACGTGCCTTAATATCTATCTATCTAAGGACATCGAGATGCTCCAACGGTCAATTTCACGTAATCTTGTTAATTGTTCCTTTTAGCGCGACTTTCTTAGACGTCTTATCTCGTACCACGGATTTTTAATTAAGTCGGTCAAAGCGCCGCACAAGAGGATGTGTGCATACCAGCACGCAAGTCACGCTGCTGCGGCACGCACCGCTTGCACTTTCACCAATAATTTATTCGATATTTACCACGCCGCGTGTCGCCACGTTACTTTCTGCGCATAAAATAATTTCCACAATTAATTTGCTTGACAATTAATGACAAATGTAAATATCAGTTGAGATCGATGGGAGAAAGACGGGGGAATTATTCGATCGAATTCTTAAAGAGAGATTTTCCGATTTAAAGAGATTCTTAAAGAGAGATTTCGATCCGAGCGTTATTCTGCAGATCCCCAATTCGGCAATCTTTTAGTATAAGAATAGGAGAAACTACAAGAAAATTTGAGAGGTATTCCCCTATATATTATTCGTGATTATATTAATCTCGTCTGTGTCTAATGTATATCGGGCATTTATTCGACGGTATGCATTATTGAGATGGTTGATAAAGCGTTTGTGGCTAATAACGACATGAATGAATTACACGCGTGTTTACTATTGCGACGTGGAACTTTTCATGTCTTGCCAGAAGCGTCCGCCAGTGACTCGAAATAAGTTGCGCCCATTGCGTAAGACCTTGATCGGTTACTTTTGTAACCGTTCGCAGTGGATAAGGACGGTGATTACGGACGGAATGACCGCGCGCGCATCAATAATGCTATAAAAAAATGTGCACTTCAGCGGCAGCGATTAAAGAGAACATTTTTCAAAATATACATTTCAATTTTCATGATTGTTTTAAGTTCCTGGTATACCGTGACGTTTGACAAACATTATTTAGATGTGAAAACAGCGTTTTCAATCACGTTGCTTTACGCACACAGTTTTACGCTTTAACGCTTTGTTATGAATTTTATTACTAATTACAAAAATATAATGTCCAGGGAATAGACTTTAGACTCGGAAATTTATGCGGCGAGGATTAACATGTTACGTTAAGTACAAGCCTATAGTTTTCTTAATCTCTCGATCAGGGACTGCAAATTTTATGCGCGTACGTATTTCATTATTATTGTTGTACAAGCCAGCGCATTCTCATGTGTGAAGCAACTCTTTGCTTGACTTAATTACAACGTCAATTGTCGTTGCTGCTATCTGCTTAGTGAAGAAACTTGTTTGCGCTGCTGGAAATTTTTCGTCAGCTTTATCGCAATTGACTCACAAAAGCATCTTGACAGTTCTTGGTCCAAGATTGCGGCGAACATGCAATACGGGGATGAGAAAGTGAAACGCTTTAGCGCCGTACAGAGATAATATTATATACTTTCTTACGAAATCGTTACATCAAGTACAATTAATCTTCTCCTTTCTATTGGATGTACATAAGTAGACACAGTAAACTGAATAAATATACATTTGCCAAGAATTATTCACTAAAATATGTTTATTATACATTGTAAATTAATTACGTTAATTTTAGATGTACATGCGTGGCGAAGAAAAAATTTACTAACGATTTTCTAAGAATTGTTAACTTTAAATTACATATACTAACCTTAAGATATACATTTGTTAAAAAAGGAAGAAAGAGAAAAAAGAGAAAGGGGAGAAGATATGAAAAAAAAAAATATTTACATTAAATATTTCGCTGAATAGTTTTGAGTATCGTGAGAATTGTATCGTCGGAAACAATTAACGTAATAACTGCCCGTTGGGCACAATGAAATTCTAAGAAAGATTGCTAAATGATCTTGTTGTAGTGTGACGAAACTCCTTTATTATCTAATAATACCATTGAGCGCGTTAATCTATCGCGATTATTCTCTCTATACACATATACGGTTCTGATTGGCTTCCTGCATTGTTCTCTCGCGTTATAGTAATGACGAAATAGTGAGCACTGCATATCGTACTCTTAGAAACGTAAAAAGAGAGATAAGGCACAAGTTATTATAACGGCTATTTCCAACCGCAACGAGAAGACGATGAATTATATCGAGCCTAAGGAGATGCCCTCGATCTTTGAGGCGGGCACTTTGGCACTACTACTTCACTGCGTGACGACAAGACGATAAATTTCATCGTCAGTGAATCGCGACGGTATTTTAGATGCAGACATTAATCGATGATCACTCGAGGAACGTCGTACAGTTATTCAAAATACAAGAGATTGTATACGTTCAACGAGTTAACAATGTTAAAACGCAGCCACTCAGAAATTCTATCCTTTATATTTCTCGCTTGTTTTCTTCACGAGAGACATTCAATTTCTGATACAAAGAGAGAGAAAACGTGCGTATATAATACACGCGAGACGAAAATAGCACGTATATAATGTAACGCGAGAAAAGAGAGGTATCGTTTGACAAACTCGAGTCAGTGAATTAAGCTTCATCTGAAGGTTCTATACGTTGAATCTTGTTCCTTTTTAAATTGCGATCTTACGCGATCGTATAAGTGGATGGCGCGAGTATTTTATTCGCGGGATAATAAAATCCGCGAGTTTGACTACACGGTGCCGAGGTGCCGGATTTAAAGGCGGCGGATCATCGATCGGCGGTGCGAGCGATGCCTCGAGAGACGGAGAGGCGTATACACCTACCTCTCGGGTCTTCGCATCAGCCCCGTTACACGAGCACTGCAGGATCGTTGTGCAGCAAGCGCGCGCACATTATCGGGAGATGCGACGACGCCGCGTGCATATATCCCTCGGTTTCCCGGACCTGCACGTGAAAACCTATATTTTCCCAGAACGCAAAATCGATGCCGCGACACGACGCGCGAATCTCTCGCTCGCGCGAGGAGATTGCCAGTCCAGCGCGCCGCCGCGCAGGCGAGACTCACCGCGAGAGAGGATCATCGCTTATAGCGACAGCTCCGTCTCTCTCCGAGGGAAAAAATTTTGCACGAAACATCGTTATCCTCCGTGCATCGGCACAAGGATGAACGAGCGACCCGAAGCGTGTACGATATTTTTTTTTTTTTCGTCTGCAATATATACTCTCTAAATTTTTTGGAGTGACTTTTCACTCCTTTGGAGTGAATCCCGAAAGAGTGAAAATACTGCCACTCAAGTGGCCGAGTGGCAGTATTTTTAATCTTTTGGAGTGAGATTCACTCCAGAAAATTTAGAGAGTACCTATACGCGACGCGCACGTTGATTTCAGTGGTACCGGGATAAGCAATCGCGCGAATTTCGCAATTTCTCGCGCGGAGTGCCTCTGGTAATAGGAAGTGGCGTGATCGGAACGCGAAGTAAAATGGATGTTTAAAATTAGGCTGAAAACTCCGCATTACTGACCCGGGGCCAGATTCTATAATTGGAGTAAAGCGAAAGGATTGCCGCGCCGGTGAACTGGCGAGGTGAACTGTCTCGCAAGCAACTGTCGGCCGCGCCGACAGCCGAAAGAGCCGCCTCTCTTATCACGTATTAACAACCACCACGTCGGCCTGCCGACTCACCACACCCCCTCCGCCACTTTTACCCCGCGCGGTTCGGGACTTAATGTTGGAGAATCCCAGATTTACCTGTGCCCCAGTTCGCGCTTATCACTGCGGGCGCCGTGCGTGCCCTCGTTGTAGCTGTCCAGGTCTTGCTCGCTACGATCGTTCCTGGTCAATCCTACGTTAAGGCCGCGGAGCATGGTACGATGGATCGATTCCTCGGGGAATACATTCGAGTCGTCCGGGAATCGCACCCTCGGTCCTGCACCGTGAAATTTCGTGTCGTCTTCGTTGGCAATTAAAGAGTTCGCAGGGTTCCACGGTAATAAAGTAAGCCCACGATCCGCGACGTTTCTCGACAATAACCGACAGTATCCGTGGACGATGGAATTAGAACAGTTACGTTGACTGTATATGCGATTGCGAGATCTACGTTGCAGGATCTAAACTCTGACATAATTGGAGTAAGTTGAGAGATTCGTGCGATATAAATCATTAAACTTTTTTTTTTTACTCGATATTTAAATTGAATTTTACGGATCGTGGACTTGTCTCGTTGCGTCGAACCCTTCAGTCCGTTTCTCCGAAGAAATTATTTGGAGGGGGAATAAAATGGCATCGATAATTAACGAGATTGCCGCACGTGTGGCGTATCTCTCCTTAAATACCATTTATCGCGATATTTCCCAACGCGCGAAATCCGATCGCGTCGGCATTTAGAGACAGATCAGATATATATTAACGTCTAAATTAACATTTAAATAAATCGTCGTGCATTTTGAGACAGATCAGATATATTAATGTCTAAATAAATCGTCGTGCGACTTGATCTGAAATTCGGGAGAGAGCGGGACAGAGAAAGCGACGCGTACTTACACACACTGCACAAGTGCATTTTTAAGGGAGAATAAAAATAGAGGAGATAATTACCAATGCTAGCGTTGCTCGCCGGCGTAATGATCACACCGACACTTCGCTGACTCATCGTGCAAATTAACGATGATGCGAGTCGCCGATTTTCTCTTGTTCGAAACAACGGCGAGCGGTGAGAAAATCCGTCGCGAAAACCGATCGCCGATCACCGTAAGTTCTTCGTGTATATAGTGTAACGGCCCGTATACGACTTCCGTCCCGCACGAGCGACAATGTCGTAATGACGGAATGGCATCCAACAACTTTCGACCGTGAATCGACCGTGGACAAACAACCGCGCGATTCGCGCAGCCTGACGAAAGCACGGAGCCGGGCGATAAGAAACGGCAGCGGATCAGGCCGCCGAGGGTCAATCGCGTGACGAAAGCGATGTAGAAGGCAAGGGTAATCGCGGCTCGCGTGATACGCCGCGATTTTCATCGTTTTCTTAGCGGGCGCGAAATCGTAACGGATCCTCTCTCTCTCTCCCCCTCGCTCGCTCGGGTCAGAAGGCGATAACGCGCGGACGAGTGTACGGCCTTCTGCCGCAAGAATGCAGATGCATTTATGCTATCGTTGGCCTTGGGAAAAAAAGACTAATGAACATTTCAAAATTAGCACCGTGTATCGACGGTATACGTGCTCGGACGTGTGTTTTTGGAACGTGGCGTATCTCGATGCTGCCCTCAGCGGAGATAACGCGGTAACGCAATATCGCCTGCGTACGGTTTTTATAATTTTATATCGGGTTATTTCAAAATTCCTTTGACCCGTATTGGATTTCCATGGCTTTTGTCATTTTTTTTTAAATTAAACGGTCGTATGTATATTTTGGACGGAGAATTTAACTTCAATTAATTCAGCCGAAGCTCGGTGTAAAAACATACTGCGGATGACGCATCTTCTTATCTACTTTTTAAATTAATAATTTACGATTTGTAATTGAGAAATCTTTTCGACGCCTTTTCTCCAAGTGGAAACATTATTTGGGAGATACTTTACGTATTCTCTCGTGAGATTATTTTTCTTGCGTATGTATTTGTGTATGTACATGTATATTCGCCGCGTGATACTAGCCATGGAGGAAGTGGTTGTCGAGCAGCTTCCCGAAATACATCGCGGCCGAAGTGTATCATTTAAACGAGTTATTTTCGTGCGGTACATGGTGGATTTTGTTTTCGAAAATGCGTAGGTCACATCGGTATTTTTGATGCTGTCGCAACTATTAGGACGGATGAAATTATCGGTCCGAAAATATTCCGGGCGTCTGTTTATATCGGTACAGCATATAAGCCTACATCTCTCGATTAAAATCGTCGCGAAACTAAATATATGCGTGTAAATTAAGTCCGCTTGAAAAGCACTGCTTAATGATAAGAGTCCATTTCAATAGCTCTGATATCTAAAGTACTTTAGGATTCATCAATAAACGTCACCATATACAGGAAAAATTCAAGTATTTGCGCTGATTGTATGTACATGTGTGAGTAAAAAACAAACGATTAAATTACGATTCTTATCTACAGTAAAATATACATATAAATATAAAATACATATTTTACATATTTTACTATTTTTTGTGACAAAAATATTTTATCTTAGAAAATAAAATTCTTAGATATACACTTGTGATTTGTTCAAATTTTATTCAAATTTATTCCGCCCAGTATTGTCCTACTTGAAATCTATTTGAAGTATATTCAACATTGCTTCCAAACGGAACGTATCACGTTTAAATAACGTGCTGTGATAAAAAAATAAATCTAACTTATATTTTAATTTATTTACAATAAATCTAATTCTTTCAACGGTTAATTTAATATCGTATGTAACTTTTCCTTCACCTTTCTATTTTACGTTCAATTGTTCAAATGTTCAATTTTACAGACACGCTGGAACGTTCTTACAGCTATTATAGGACGTAGTTTCGAATCGTGTGTGTGTGATGTACGAATATCTAGATCACAGAATTTACATTCGTTATTCAAATTCCGAATATTTAAAAGGAACACGTACGTATAGACACGTCACGTACGGAAACTTCGAAACTTGTGACGACACAAAGACAAGTGTATACACAGGTGACAAAAGATGCATTCACTAACCTTTGGCTGGCCTGCCGATACCACTTTTTGTTACCGCTCGGATCGTTGTCGTGCTGCGGTGTGTTAGGCCCTGTGTTCTCCTGATCTCCGTGCGCATTGCAGTTTTCAAGCTCCATGATTAGCTGCAAATGCAATTCACATAACGTTTATAATGACTTCTCCGAACACTTAACGTTACAATGTATGTGGTATTTGCTAATAATGTATGTATTAAAAAAATTAATACAGTTTCACCGAATTTAGCATTCAATTCTTAGCAAGAAAATAAATTTAAGACAAAAATGGTTTTATAATTTATACTCTTGATAGTAATGCAAATTTAGCACCAAGAAAGTTCTTTCGATAAAGGAATGACGCGAAAGATTATATTCAGTTATAATGACTCAAGTTTTTACATTAAAGGCGAATGGAAAATGCCGAGTAATGTACACTTGTTTGCCAATATCCGTTTTTATTTGCTTTTGAATGCGCGATGCGTTTTGTTGCGTCGTCGCATGCGGGGATCGTAATGTTTTGCAAAACGTTTCGACGTAGAAAAGCAATTCGTGTTACTCACGAAAATGCAATAAAAGAGGGCACGTAAAGCACGAAACTTGGCGACGATTTCGACGGGTTTGGTTTCCAGAATCGCGATTTACGATTGTGTTTCTCTCTCTCTCTCTCTCTCTCCCCCCCCCTCCTTTCTCTCTCTCTCTTTCTGCCCGCCACGGGCAAAACGGCAAACGGGCAGAGATCGATATCGCGTGTCCGCGGAGAGCCCCGAAAAATCTGAGCCCGATGAAATAATCGCCGGGTTTCGATCCCGCGGGCGGGGAGAAAATAAACAACCGTCGAATCGCACGACCCGCAATCAGCGGCGGATATCAGCGGCGCGGCGTTATCGCTCGCGCGTTGAAATTATACGCTCCGGCCGAGTGATAGACTCCGGAATCGAAGACCGGAGAGCAACGTACGCACGTCGTTGCTCCGATATTGTACTCTCTATCGCTCTATGGTGCATACATATTGTTTACGCGCGCCGAAGGAAGGTAAACATAGCTTATTCACGCTCTCCCTTTCTCTCACGCACATACGCACATACGCGTACGCTCGGCGCTGTGTCACGTAAGGTTAGCGCGGAAATGAAACGTCCGTCTTTTTCCTTTACCTCGTCGGCAATATTTCCGGCAATCGCTTTTACGACGGACGCGAAAGCTGACGATTCCGGCTCGCAAAATCGCTGCGAGCTGTCATCCGAAGTATCGCTGATACACAAGACTGGCAGGACCGTTCGCTCGGCGGCCGCACCCTCCCACGACGAGGCTTCACGGCGTACTGAGAAGTGAGAGGTCAATTCACTGAATCGCTCGCGGCGACCTCGGCCGGCAGGTGCGCCAATCGATCGCGGCGAAAGGTCCCTAGGGCGGCGCGGCGCGGCGCCGTGCGATTGGATGGCCGGCGCGCGGCGAGAGGGGAAAAATCGCGGCGTCTCCGCGATATCGATGCGATGCCGATAACCGCGAGGGTGGTCATTCGCGGAGAGCGGATCCGCGAGCACGACGGGATCGGCGGAGCCGATGACAGCGACGCGATGCGCACAGCTGCTTGTTACGACAGCATTGCCGAGCGCGCAAAAATGCGAAATCGGAGCAGATGATATACGAGCCCGGATTTAATGCGGAGAGTTAAAGAGAAACAGAGTCGCGCGCAGGGCATGCAAAAATGCACATATCTTTAGAGTCAATAAGAAAAGCGGAGATACTTCTTATTTTCTTGAACTTACGCAAGTCAATTGGCTCGAATGATCGATGATTTCTCAGTGAAAGCATCGCCCCGCAATGTTTTATAATTAATATAGATAAGTACTTTTTACGGATATATATATTTTTTTAATGCGCGTGTATATGTATATATAATTTAGTGTTGGGCTTGCATCTCGTAATATTACTCGTATTGTCTTTAAAGACCTCTTTACTTGGCCATTTACAGTTTTATCTGCAGTTTTTCTTTTACGGATTTCATTTTTCTTATTCAACGCGTCTGGCAGCTGTAGCTTCTCGAAATCGGGAAGAAGGTTGATCGATACAAATTCATTAATAATGAATGTAATAATTAATGTAAAAGAAGTAACACACGTGGGAATCGATTCTAGGAAATAGTGATACTGCACTCGCCTCACATCTCTTCGCGCACTTGCGTTTATTTCTATCCTATATATAAATATATATAGTATATATATATATATATATTGTATATATATATATACATGTAGATTACTTTAATCTCAATTTAACTTTTCTTTATCAACTCTTCATCTTTATCTTAATTCTTAGAACTAGAAGATAGAAAGTAAATCGAGATTAAAGTTTATCTACATTAATAGGACCGCATTAGGGTGACTTTGTGTGATCAAACTCTGATTAATTTTTCATCAAAATTATTTAAAGCAAAAGTTAATAAATACAATTCTAATATATTATCTATTTTAATATTTTTTTTCTGTTAAACGCAATAAAAACATTAATTCCATTCATTACAATAAAAATAATACAGGTATTACTAACAATAAGTTAATCATCGATTAAGTTAATTGGAGTTTGATTGAAGTCACGCGCTTACGCGTAATCGGATGTTGCATGTATATGTCAATTACGAATTGCATCACGCTACGAAGTAGCAATAAGACGAGATGTTATCCCCCCTCTATGTTCTCCCCGAGAATGTATACGAGCGCGAAGTCGCAGCGCTCTTCCCACAAGTTATTCGAACGGTTTCACGGCGCGTAAACGCGATGCAAATTAAGGGGGTTGAAGAAAGGTACGATCGAGAGTCGCTTCTCTTCTTCCTCCTCTCTTTCCTCTTCGGCGGCATGCACAGGACGTACTTCGAAGAAGGATCCGCGAAATCATGAAATGAGGGAGAGGGGGCGAAAAAGAGGGAGGGTGCAGGGTGGGTAGCGACGCAACAGAGTATAAGTAATTGGTAGTAATTAAACAAATAAAAATGATGCACCTGTCGGATGGTCGAGGCACGAATAACGCGCGGCGCACTCCGACCCGTGCTGGAAACGCCGCCGCCGTCGGCGCCGACGGCGGCGGCGGGCTCGCCCGTCCGTGGCGCCGTGCGTGACCCGTCGTCGTCGCTCCGTCGTCGTCGGCCGAGCGCCGAGGTCCACGGTGCAGCGACGGCGGCAGTAGTAGTAGGAGTAACAGCAGTAGTAGGAGAAGAGAAAGGAGGTGAAAGCACCCCGTGCCTCGCGATCCTCGCGAGCCTCCACCACGCGTACGCGCCGCTCATCATCGTGCCCGCCGTCGACTCGTCGCCGTCGTTCCCGTCGACGACGAACGCCGCGGAGCGGGTGACAGCCCGTCGCCGTCGCCGTCGTGAACGTGAAAACGATTACGTCGCCCGCGGTCGGTCATCGCGTATTGCGTAAAACTAATCCGATTTAGGCGGCGACCTCGCGCGCGCTGCTCCGTTTGCTGCACCCCTCCTCCCCCGCTCCGCTCCGCTACGCCACTACGTCGCCGTCGCCGCTCGCGCGCGGTTACGTCGCGGGTCTCTCGCGGCGCATCTCTCTCCGTCAATTTTCAATCCCCCCGTTCTTCGCGCGCGGCGCGGGTCTTTTCTTACCCAGAGGGGATCATCCACCGTCGTCATCGCGTCGCAGTGAGATCGCTTCTGACACGGCGCGAGAAGGGGGAAGAAGGCAAGGGTTGAGGAAAGGGGAGCCAGAGGAGGAGGAGGAGGAGGAGGAGGAGGAGCAGGTGGAGAGAAGGGACACACCGCGCGAACACCGAGAGTAAGAGAGACGCGCGGGGGACGTGAGATAGGGACACGCAGTCTCCTCACGCTGCGCTCCCGCTCCACGGTACGCTCCGTCTCCGCCGTCGTCGCGTAGAGCGATGCGATGCGTCGTCGCGCGAGTACGGTGCGCGGATCGCGGTGGTGAGAAGTGTGTTAACGCGCGACGCAGCTGAACGCGCTTCGCGCGCGTCGCCCTCCGCGTCGTCGTCCGCCGCGGCCCAACCCACTTTCGACTTCGTGGTGGTTGGCCGCGTTTCCCTCCCCCCCGGTTGTGGCCGCCCCGAGAGTGCGCGTCGTCCGCGGCGAGCCATGTACCCGCGGTGATACACCTCCTCGCGCGCGGCTTCCTTCCTTCCTTCCACGGACAAGCGTACATACTCTCTCTCCCCTTCCCAGCGAGCGCGCGCGCGAGCGAGCGAGCCGAGGGTATCCCGGGTATCGCGTCGCGTCGCGTCGCCCCGCTCCGCTCCGCTCCGCCGCCACGCTTCGCCTCGCCCACTGCGCCTCGAAGTTCGCTCGGGGTATGGAACTTTGCTGTTCGCGGGACACGACGGGGGCCTCTCGCTCGCCAGCGCGTTCACATAACCTTTAAGGTTCCACCGTCGTGAGACGCGTCTCCTCGTCTCCGCTTCCTCGGAGCCTCCGCGTAGCGCTTCCCCGCACTCGCCCCGCGCGCGCGATGCGTCGGCGGCCGTCGGCCGCGGCTCGTCGTTCCTGTCGTCGCCCCGCCGTCGCGGGGGGATCTCGACGCCCCGCGGAGGCGACGGTCCGCGACGTTGAACGGGAGGACGAATAAGCCGCCCTCCACCCGCGTCGTCCGCGTTGCCCTCGTACGTCGCGGCGCTGTGCCACCCCCGCAGGACACATGCACTACGTGTTCATCGCGCTATACATAATGATGTTCAGTTTGGTTCTGTTCTGTATACTTCTGTTCCTGCGCCACGTTATCTCGCGGACACAGTCTCTTCTGTATCTTTGAGTTTTTTTTGCCGTTAATAAATTTTGTTTCTCACCCACGCAAGCAGTGTGTTTTGTGTTTTTATTTCGTACATATTATACACATACACATACACGTTCGCACATACCATCCCATTCGTCCTCACACATACACACACACTCACACACACATGTCAGATTCTGCACAGATTCTCACATTCCTCTCGTGCCTCGTAAGTATATATGCGTTGAGAGAAGATTAATCTTGCATCGCGATCATCATTTTTCCGCCGGGCAGAGCGTTTCTTTGCAGATGTGTGTTATGATTTTTCGATATTCTCTTGCTGTTAAAAGCGTCGCGTGCAAAATTTGCCTCCAACGTTCAACATAGTTCTGTATAGAGATTATTAGAAAATATCTGGAAATTTGACTAAAAACAAAGCCGATTGCATCAAGTGCGAGAACGAGTAAGATCAATTTTTTTTTTGGTATTATTTACACATATTCCGCAGCTGTGAACGAGAAGAGCGACATGATATCCATGGTAAATCATCCTCTGCTCCTGATCGTCCGAGCGACGATGCACTGAGAGATCGACGTACGTCGGACTAAAGTAAACCGTGGGAACTCATCGTCACAAGTTGAGAAAATGAATAATCAGGCGTTCAGCTTGGCGGAGAGGCTCATACCTTCGACCTACGTGCAGCAGGGCTTGAACGCGAAGAAGTCTCGCGAGAACCTTATACGGCACTTCATCGAACATGTGAGTCTCGAACAAGACAAAGCTTTGCATATTTACTCTCCACGTAGTATCCCCTTGCAATTTTCTAATATGAAACAAAAAAATGTACAGCGAAAATGGCCAGAGGAGGGCTGGGACGACGCGACGATAGAGGCATTTCTGTCGGATCTGTCGCAAATGGACAGCAATAACTTCCCCTCGAATTGTAGCGTCGGCGAACGCGAGGCGAGGATCGTGTCGAATCTCGTCGCGAGACGACACTTTCGCATGGGACACGGCATAGGCAGGTCCGGCGACCTAGAAGAAGTACAACCGAAGGCTGCTGGTAGCAGTTTAATGTATAAATTAACTAACTCCTTAGTGCTTGAAGTTATACGATATATGGGTAAGGAGATACGCAGAGATGTATACATATATATTTAATGTAGAGGATATAAGGCATTCGATATGAAGTAATCGCATAAGAAATTAATTTATTCGTTTAAAATGGCAGAGAGAAAAGAGAGATAAATATTAGATTGATCACAGAAAAGTTCATTGAATTTTCTTTGTAATTTATTTCTTTATATTTTTTTGTTCGGTCTTTTATTTGTTCTATTTAATGCAAAAAGGCGTCTAACACAAGGATATTCTCGTTCGCAGGGGTGAAGAGCATAGCGGGCTGCTTCCTGTCACCAATGGCCACGGGAATGAGCCTAGTCCTGTGTATGCTGACGCTTAAGCAGGATAGACCACGCGCGAAGTACGTTTTATGGCCTAGAATTGACCAAAAGTCTAGCTTCAAGTCTATAATCACGGCCGGATTGGAGCCTGTCGTTATCGAGATGCAAATAATAGGGGACGAGCTGAAAACCGACATGCAGAGACTCGAGGCTCAAATGGCGGCCCTAGGCGAGAGCGTCGCCTGCGTGCTCACGACGACCAGCTGCTTCGCGCCCAGAGCGTGCGACTCCGTCGACGCGATCGCGGCCCTCTGCAGTCAGTACAACATACCGCATCTGGTGAATAATGCATACGGGTAGGTGAGACGATGCATGATTTTTTCATGTATATCTCTACTAGATCGATACCTTGGCGCCTACAACAACTAACGGCTGCCTCTCTCGACCATAGAATTTTTATTCGGAAAATCGAGGCACAGAACGCCGGCTTGGTTTCAGTCGCCAAGATATCGACACACACAGTCCCGATCGATCAACCGAATTTCACTAAATGCATTGCACTACTTATATTGCCAAAAGCTTGCAGAGCACAAGATGTATGCATCTCATACAAGAGGCGTCGAGGAAGGGTCGAGTCGACGCCTTCGTTCAGAGCACGGACAAGAACTTTCTGGTCCCGGTGGGCGGTGCCATTATAGGCTCCTTCGACAAGAATCTGTTGGATCGCATATCGAAAATGTATCCAGGACGCGCGAGCGCGAGCTCCGTTATGGACGTGATGATTACGCTGTTGAGTCTTGGAATGGCAGGGTACAAACAATTGATTGCTCAACGTAAGGAGATGTATTCTTACCTGAAGGAGGAATTGGGAAAGTTAGCGACGAGGCACGGGGAGAGGCTGTTAGACGCTAAGGGCAATCCAATATCCATGGCCATGACTCTGCAGTGTCTCAGCCATCAACACGACAACAAGCAAGTTACTATGCTAGGATCAATGCTATTTCTGCGTAACGTTAGCGGTACTAGAGTAATAACGACCACGGATTCTAAACACATTGTCTCACATAAATTTGAAGGTATATATATTTTAATGTTTAAGTATGATTTAATTACGTTTCTAGAATATGTTCAATTTAACGAGATTATATAATATTAAGTCATCGGAATCGTATTTGAAAAATTAAAAATATTATAAGTATCTATTTTAACTTATTGTTAAAATAGTTTAAGTTAGTACAAAATTTTCTATTATTGAAAATAATTTCCATTTCGTAATTTTAAAATATGATTTAATAATGTTTCTAAGAATATAATAAATTTAATGAGATTATATGATATAAAGTCAACGTAATCGTATTTGAAAAATAAAAATATTTCGAGCGACTATTTCAACTTATTGTTAAAATAGTTTATACAATTATTATTATACAAATTATGTTATTATTATTATACAAAATTTTTTACTCTTATCGAAAATAATTTCCGTTTCATAATATTTATTTCAATTGCTACACAGGCTGGGGTGCACACAACAGCAATTACAGAGTTCCATATCTGACTGCTGCGGCGGCGTTGGGCATGAAGAGATCTGATGTTGACGCGTTCATACAAAGATTGGACAAAGCTTTAACGAAAGTAAGGAGGCGTTCGGCGCCCGTAACGCCCACTGCTTCACTCGCCGGCTCCAGCATCAATGGAGACGCAGGTGGTACTGGTGGACCAGGGGAATCTAGCACAGCCTCAACCAGCCGTGCAAGTAGCAAGGACAGTCTAAGGAAATGAACCGTAATCAACGCAACTGGCCAGTCCAATCAGCACATTAATATCAATTTGTAAGTAGCTTATCGCTTACAAATTGACAACCGTAGCATGTTTCTGAGAAATGCAAAATTTCGTACAATCGTTCCTTTATGAGCGTCAACCACGTGTTTGTGTTGACAGGAGTTTTACAAAATCTGAAGAAATTTAATGCAAGAAACAAACACCTGAAACCTTTTAGATTAAAAAATATATACATTTTTTATGGAAAAAATGGGGAAGAGAAAGAGAATATATATACTATATATAATATATATATAAACATTTATTTTCTAAACAAGATGTTGAAACAAAATCTCTATTACTACGTTAATGTTAAAGGAAACAGTGATCTACATGTATTTTCGCAGACACATGCTAGATACAAATGTACTGATTCGTCTGCCCATTTGCGTTGAGATACTGTCAATTTAAATTATATATACCAAAAAATGCGAATCTTCAGACATTTTAAAGAGTGATCAAAATTAATATTTGAAAAGAAAAGAAACATGACAGGAAACGCGAGGCATTCGGATTCCTATGGCTCTATTTCAGAAAGAGATCTCAAAAAGAGAGATTCAAGTGATAAGCGCTGGCCGCCGATATAATTGTTGAGTATGTTCTTTGTTGAAAATGTATATGCTATTATTTATAAAGACACAGGCAACACATTGAATTCTTACATTTTAACTCTTTTCACCTTCTTGTTTTCTAAATACAATTTGATATAAACACGTAATAAGAGGCATGTATCAATCAAAACTTGTATACGTTTGCTTTATAATAATATAAATTCCTCTTCTAAAGGAGTAGACTATGAAACTTGTGCGATTCTGACGATACATGTAGCAATATTCGCTGTTTCAATTCTTTATAATATTTACCACGTTATTCTCTTGAGAAAGCTGTCGTATTTCTGATAATTTATTCACTTGTATGCACTCAGTAGAATTGATTGTTATTAATTGTGTCTTTTTTTCTGTTTATTTATCTTTCACATGGACGCATAGAGAATGAGAACCCTCTTTTCTTTCATTTAAGCAGAGTATATTCGTGTTTACGGCACTAGTAAAATGATATATTATCTGTAAAAAAAAAAAGGAAGCAGTAGTGAAATATTTATGGAAACACACTATTAGGAAAGTATGTCAAAATTTAGGTACATAGTACACGTGGTATACGAGCATACCTATCATTCGGTTCATAGAAAAATTGTAACATCTTCGCGTACGTAGGTACTATACGTTCGATTTGTTCCCAAGAACGACAAGAATTTATAGAACATAGTGTCGTGTTATCAGTTTGTTTTTAATACAGATAGTATTATATTTCATTGTACTGTTGTGTAATAAATAGAGTATCTGAACTATAGGAGTATGTTACGTGAATATTAATATCGTTTGACATATTTAGTATTATTCGCAAGCAACATCAATATAATTACTAATTATTAACACAAACATATACACACACAAACACGCACGCATGCATACACACAAACACATATTTATACATACGAGAAAGTATGTTTATACGTATATAGATGCCTGCGTGCGCAGACATATATATACACAGATATATTCATACTTGCGCAATTCGTTGCGTATAAAGAATAGTTTATTTGAAGTTTCACGCAATTTAGAAAAAATGGTATATCGAAGTTGTATTTATAAATATTTAATAGAGATAAAAGGAGAAAGAGAGTAAACCGATAGGGAGAAGATTATTAGTGCTGTTAAAGTTTTATCGAGCATGTATAATTTATGATGCCTGTTGCACTTTCTTTAAATAGAGACATTATTTATAATATATTTATATTGTATTGTTGAGACATTTGGATCTTTCGTAGTGTATATTTTATGTCGAAAAGTGTTCAAGGCGAAAAATTTACTAGTCGGTAAAATCCATCTGTGGTAAAACTGACGACGGCGCAAAATGACTATAAATCACCGAGGTTTTCAAAGTGTATTATTATTACGAAAGCGAAAGTGGCGGCGATACACGCAGATTAGCATTTAATTAAACGCTTAGTTGACGGCTTATTAGGATGGCAGTGCTAATCGAGATTTTGTGAAGCTCCTAGTAAAATAATTATCATTATTCAATACATTATCCTACTAATAATTATAGATCGAGATATTTTTCAATTAATTATAGTCACTATGTCCCTTATATAAAGAGAAAGCGGTCTTTTAGTACACATATAAATAATATACTTTTCCTTTCCCAAGCTTACGATATTATAATTATTTACAGGATTTTCTAGATCCCTATACCTCTTCTATCCTCGGATCGTTTGGTCTTTTCTTAGAAAATCAGTTCCGAAAATAATTAAAGAAAAATGTGAAACGTAGCTCCGGTAGATTTGGAACCCCAATACGTACGGCGATATTCATACTTTTAGACAATTACATACATATACGTATATATAAGTTATACACCGATACTGTATTGCGTATTTTTTGACCATTAGTTTCAAGTTACACGTTTCTTTAATTATTCATTCGTCTCGAGGCAGACAGATTACACACAGAAAAAAAAAAATCTCTAAGATGTAGTGAAAGAAATTGCAAAATTATCGCTATAAGGGGATTGTATATGATGCTATATAATAGGAAACACATTGACGTTATATTATTTAATAAAGAGGAATATATGTTGTGTATATATAATATATACACACACATATACATATATATACATGATATACATGTATGAGCGGTCTTTATACCGTGATATCTTGATGTACACCGGGCTACTGTCGAAAAGTCACACGCCATCTAAAACTAATTAATCGCTTATTAATTTACATCTTTATATTTAAGATTTACCTTTCACTCTTTTACTTCAGGCAAGCAATAATTGTAATGCGACGCGAGGTAATAATGCGATTCCGGGGAGGGGGATATTTCCTTTCATTCTATGCTCAAGCAGAGGGAGACATTGGATTTTCTCGAAGAGCAATAGAGACAAATCAGCCTATATACGTATTTATATACATGTATATATACATATGCATATATGTGTGTAACAATAGGAGAAAATGTTCTAGGACACACCGGCGTACGATGGGATCTTACAACTCGTACTCGTGACATTCCTATGTAAATAAAAAAAAAGAGGTCTCTGTCTTAATTTGATTCACCACCATTTCCAGCTGTGAGTTTTCGTCTAAAAAAAAAGGGCCAGCTTAACTTTACAACATTGCGTTACACACACCTCTCACGTAACAACAACGACCGTCTCGCGGACCTAATTTTTTCCACTTTCACTCTCTCTCTCCCTTAAGTTAGCCCGACACTTGGGATCGGTCCGACTCCGACTACTGCAGTTTCATTGTCTTTTTATATACGAAAAAAAAATATATATATATAAAATGATATTCTAACACAAACAGCGAATGCGTTGACTCGAGGAAGCACCTAACGTTCGCACAAGAACAAATGTGTATTTATATAAGGGATAAAATAAAAAATATATATATATATAAATATACGCAACCGACTCGCTGTATTAAAGTTTAGGGCGTCGGTATAATGTAATTGTGAGCGAGCGGTTAAGGCTTATATCGAGTAAATACGACATCATGTCTTATAACGCCTCGCGAACGTGTTCTCCGAGGCAGCATCTGGTTTATTTTTTTTTATTTTCTTTTAACGATGCGACACGTCGAGACACGTCCGGGGAACGCCCGCGACTCCCGCTGACATTGTACATAACGCGGTTATTGCTCTAACGGCTCATCTTCAACAAGATGTGAAGGAGGGGGAGCTCCACGAGCACCACGAAGACGTCGGTGGTTCCCCTTGTCGGGGAACATATTGGTTCGTAAAGGCCGGCATTCCCGAGCCACCTAAGTGGAAGGCTATAACAGGCGATAGCGCGATCGAGGAAGAGGATTTGTATGTACAGCTGGATATACAGGATCGATCCGGGTGTGCGAACGGAAAGGAGAGGAGGATCTCTTCAATGCGTGTTTCTCCACAGATTTTATATAGAAATCTGTGTGTTCTCTCCTCCCCGCCGTTTCCGCCTGACTTCCCTCCGGCGATTGAAAGAAAAAAAAAAGACACGTTGAATATTAAATCAAACGATAGCGAACTAATGTAAACGGCGTAATATACGTGCTCTTCCCTAAATATGTGATTACCGTGTGTAATAGTCAGCGCTTTATTTGTAATATACGCAAACTATTGGATAAATAAATTAAAAACTGTTAAGCGACGCACTTTTGTTGACTTGTAAGGGAGCGGATGCGCGATCTCTGAAGTTAATCAAGATATATCGGTATAAGAAAGTTTTTTTTTT